GGGAGCACAGGGATGTTGCAGGGCGCCCATGTCAGCGAGGCCCCCCTGGGGAGATGCTGCGAGGCTCCCGGCTGCCCGCAGCGTGGTGCCACACGGGTGTCCCCTGCACCGCTGCCCACGACATGCATGTCCCCAGCACCACTGCCCAGAACACGGGTGTCCCTGACATGCATGTCCCCAGCTCTGCTGCCCCACAGTGTCACCCGCAGCCCCGCACCAGGCCTAGGCCCGTGTCCGCCTGCACCTGGGCCAAAATGCCCAAGGACGGCGAGTGCCACGGGGACCCTGCAGCTAAAACTCGGCCACTTCTCCTGAGCATCTCTGGCAAAATGCCCTGGATGTCCACGGTGCCCGTTCCGTGTCTGCCGTGCCCGGCAGGCTGGATGGGGCTAATACAATGTTTTAAGTTACCCACAGAAACAGGCAAAAGCACGGCTACAATTTTGTAACATTTCCGCGTTGCAAAATAAGACTGCAGTATTATGGGTGTTTCATACTATGTTTTAAGTGTTGTAATACCTACATACTTAGTCTCTTTAGTAAAATCTGTTGATTAATTTTTTTAAGTCTGCTAGATTTCTGCTGTGACAGTGACCCAAGTAAACAAATACTTATGATCCCCATCAAGGATGTTTCAACACTTTAGCAGGTTTAGCCAAGAAGCTCGTACATCTCAGATGCTGCGTTTTATTTTCAAGCTTCTCATCTTGTGAGAGGCAAGAATTTATTCCAAAATTTATGCCATAGGTTCCTTGAACTTTTCTGTGGTAGGTGCATTGCTCCTCACACACACTACTCTTCCTGGTGGGCCACTATCAGGACCTGTTTATGAAGAAAAGCAATTTTGGAATTAGAATGCATTTGAAGCGTGCGTTTTAGTTGTGGATAACACATATTTTATCTTTCTTGAAAAAAATTTGACCGTGCTTGTTTTGTTTTCTGTGAAATAGTATTAATCCTGTCCCACACTTTTCTCCTACACTGACTTTTCCCCCTTCTTCATGCTAGTAAATCCTGTGCAACTACGCACACGGATCTCCTCCCATTACTGATCTTTGTGCTGTCCTTGGATCCCTGAATACAAGTTTATCTTGATTAGCCTGTTCAAGAATCACTTAAAATAGGGATGACACACACCAGCTGCGAAGTCTTTGACCCCTTTCTTCTCCTTTGATTTCTCCAGCATTAATGCATATGTTTTCACAGTACTTTTTCTGTCACTGTTGTTTGGCCGGTTCACTTTTAGCATTTTTCCAAAATTACAGCTCATCCCAGTTTATGTATGTTAGCCCCAAATTCCTTCACTGCTTCACTGCAAATCTGTTTTAATTAACCAATACAAGCAGTATCTAGAAAGCCACATGCTTCATCACATATCCAGGTCATCCTGGACATGGCCACCTGAGTGTAACGCATTCATGCTTGTGTTGTTTGTAGCACCAGCTCCAGATCCGAGGGCTCAGTCTGCAGCAGCCAGTTCATGGAGAGCGAACGTAAGCATCCGTATCAGTGATAAAGCAAGAAGCTTTAGTCTCCTCGTGCCGGAGAGCTGGCAGCTACCCAGGGTTGTGCAGCTGATGGCCTTGACTTCAGACATCTCTCTGGCTTCTGGATTTGTGCTGCCAGCTCTCGTGGTATTGGGGTGAGCAGAGTGACCCGGCCTTGTCGCTGCTAATCCTCCCTACAGGCTCTGAGTCAGGCTGAAGCCCTGCATCAGCATTTGTCCACGCTCTTAAGGCCCCCTAAGCTCTTTTTCCGTTAAAGCTGGTGATTTTTATCTTTCTGCCACTGCAGTCAGTGTGAGAAGAACTGCCTTCTGTGCAGGCACGGTTCTCTGCTGCCAAATACAGGCCTTTCCAGATGGTGTATGATCCAAGGTCCAGCATGCTGTCTTTGAGTCAGATGTGGGGCATGTTAGAATAAGGATTAAAATACCAATAGGAGGTTGACATGGATTAATTTAGACTCTGCCTTAGATTTCATCCCAAATTTTGCCTACCACAAATCAGCATTAGTCATCAGAATTTTACATTGCTTCCAAAGTTACCCTTAATTTTGTTCATAATTTTATTTGGGCAGTCTTTTGCATTCACTTGAATCCTCTCTTGTTTTTGTATTACAGTAAGGAGGAAGAATTACTTCCTGATCTGCCTTTGCTGTACCATTCACTGTTTTACATGCATTTTACTGAATCTTCTTCAACTCCTTTCTCAAACTTTTTCAGTCCCTATTCATCTTTATTTTATTGTCCTTAGTTGTTGTTTTCTCTGAAACAATCTTTTCTTTGCACATGAAGCTCTGCAAATAATGCTGATCTACTTGATTTGTTTAGAGAGATGCATTTTGAATATGCCTTCATTTTAATGATGTGAAGTGATGAACGGATGCCCTCTGTAGCTGCAGCAAGCAAAATTGAATTTTGGTGCCTCAAGTGGTAGCAAGTTGTGCCAATACCTCCGTCAGGGGAAGGGAAGGAAGAAGTGACACAGCTGAGCTGGGGACTTGATTACTTCCTTGGGTGCTGTCCTGCTTTCCCCTAGATTCCCTTGAGTGGATTGCAATCCCAACATGTGCTTCATGTGCTGGCTCATAATGTCTGTATCCAAAAGTCACAAGCAAAGGTGCAAAGTTCAAAAGATGTAAAAGCTGCTCAGATGGGGATTTTAAGGCATAAAATCTGCACAGCTGGTAACAATAATACTTTCTAAAAAAGTATAAACTAGTGAAACATCTACTCTCTAAAATCTTGCAGTTTTAATTTGAAGCTTTAACAAAAATTAGATGACATAATTTTTTTTTCAAGAATAAACACAAACAATATAGAAAAATTATGAAACA